GCTCACTTTGTGCTATTTGCTTTTGTTGTTACTAGCATCTGGAAGTGAGCTCACCTTATCTCTGAGGTATGCCTCTAGTGAGCAGATTTAGTCTAGGCTGAGGCAGATTTCCACTGAAATCTGAAGTTTAAGTATGCATTAGCTAAGTAAAGTAGGGAGAAAAGTTTCAAGCAGAGTAAGGTCCCCAGGTTAAGGACCTAAGGCCCAAAGGAAAGATCTTTATCCTTGAAAGGGCTGGAAGAAAGCAAGTGTAGTTTAAGAATGGTTAGTGGGGTGGCCCCTGTGGTTCAAAGGAGTAGGGTGCCGGCCCCATATACCAGAGGTGGAGGGTTCAAATCCGGCCCCAGCCAAAAACTGCAGAAGAAAAAAGAAATAAAATTGCTTTAAAAAAAAAAAAAAGAAAGGTTAGTAGGAGAAACCTTAAGAGGAGAGAAGCCTGAAGTGGGACTATAGGGGAAAAGGGTGGGGGGTGGCCCTGACCTGATCATTATGCATTTGTATTTCTGCTTTATATTTTCAGATTCCAAATTAAGAAAAGATGCCTATCTTTGGCTAAGTTGTTTTTTAAACAGTTTTATTGGGGTATAACTATTTTTTTTTTATTACAAGGTCTTTAAGCAAAGAAAACTGAAGCAAAGGATGGGAAGAAATCTGACTCTCTACATTGACCTCTATTTTTAAAAGGTTATAATACTAGCACTTTGGGAGGCAAAAGTGGGAGGATTGCTTGAGGCCAGGAGTTGGAGATCAGCCTTAGTAATAGCAATCCCCATCTAGTGAGACATAGACAGTCTCACTATGTTGCCCTGGGTAGAGTGCCATGGCGTTACAGCTCACAGCAACCTCCAACTATTGGGCTTAAGCGATTCTCTTACCTCAGCCTCCCTGGAACTACAGGTGCTTGCCACAATGCCTGGCTATTTTTTTGTTGCAGCTGTTTAGTTGGCCTGGGCCAGGTTTAAACTCGCCACCGTCGGTGTGTGTGGCTGGTGCTGTAACCACTGTGTAGCTGGTGCTATAACCACTGTGCTACGGGCACTGAGCCATCTACAAAAACTGTTTTAAAAATCAGCCAGGCATGGCGTTGCATGTCTGCAGTCCCAGCTACTTCAGACGCTCAGGCAGGAGGATTGCTTGAACCAGAAGTTGGAGGCTGCAGTGAGCTATGATGATGCCACTGCACTTTAGCCCAGGCAACAGAGCAAGACCCAAGTTCTAAATAAATTGGGCAAATTGATCTCAATATTACATCAAGTGTAAGTACAAGTTATATCCAGTTGCCAAACCACCCTCATCTCCTGACAATACCCAATCCCTAATTAGTTCTCACTTCTAATCTTTCTTCCCTTAGAGTTTACTTAGAATTCAGCAGGAACCCAACCCTTAAGACCACACTCTCTGCCCCTTGTGGAATGCACCATATTGGGTTCTTCTGGTCCCCTTGTTTGCAAGTCAATAACGTGACTGTGTTAGAAAACAGGCTTGAGCCAGTGGTATCAGGTTGACTAGATGTTAGCAGACTTAAATAAGCTCCTGCATACTGCTGCCCTATCACAGCAGCCTGGCAAACACCCAACCTGGAGGAACCTAACACTGCTTCCACACCCTTGGAGCTGGAGGATGTGCTTCCACTGTGTTTGTACCACTGCAAATTTATGGTCACCACTTTCAGGTAGGCTGTCACTGCTGCCCACGGTCTTACTGCATTTCTTTTTAATCCCTCTTTGGTCTATTTCAAATCTTTTTTTTTTTTTTTTGAGACAGTCTCATATGTCACCATAGGTTGAGTGCCATGGTGTCACAGCTCACAGCAACCTCAAACTCTTAGGCTTAAGTGACTCTCTTGCCTCAGCCTCCCAAATATCTGGGACTAAGGGTGCCTGCCACAACACTGGGCTATATTTTTGTTGGTAGTTGTCATTGTTTTTTGGCAGGCCCAGTCCAGGTTTGTACCCACGAGCCCCTGTGTATGTGCCTGGTGCCCTGGCCAGTAAGCCAAATTCTCTCCTTTTTAACAGTCCTTTTACCTCCTTATTATTTGCTTCAAGAGGAAAAAAAAAGTGTCCGCATTCACGTCATCCCTCCTCTTCCTGTACAAGAAGGATCCCTTATATTACAGGCCAGTTATTCAGCACACGTGGGAATCCTGTCACCTCTCATTCTCATGAACTCTATTGTTACTTGGTCTGCATTTTAAATCTTTCTCCATCGGCTGGCTCTTTGCATGAGCTGTTGACTACACCTTCCTTTCATGAAAAGAACTGTAGCTTTCAGAATTGCAGTTTTTTATATTCATATCAAACATCCTCTAAATGTGACTCATCTTTTTCCCCAAACAAGTACAACTTGTCCCATACTCAACTGTCCTCACTTCAGGTAAGATTTAATGAAATACCTAATTGTAGAATTACCTTTGCTTTCTGACAACACTCAGTCTAAAGTGAACCTTCAGTGTTTTAGATTGTCCCCTGAATTATTCAACCCAAACCCAAATCCTATCATAATTTTCTAACACCCTCTTACTGATATACCCACAGTTCCAAGGTGTATATTCTCCTCCACTGAAAAAATAAAACCAGTATGTGCAGCTATCAGTGTATTTCTGGTAGCCTTTGGCCGGAGGGCACTAGTAACACAAAGATCTGCATTGATGACATGACCGCCAGGCCATGACCCGTATTTGTGTCTTGTTGCCAGAACACAAGACTATATTTACTGGCACCTATGTCCTTGCACATTGTAGACTTGTACTATTAATCCATACTAAAGACTTGACACATTCTTGCTAAATACATGGCAATACTAAAGATCAGTGATTGTGGCACAGGGACAGCTCTTCCTCAGATTATGTACCAGGGCAGCTTTATAACATGTCCATGTACTCCTGGAGGGCCTCCTATCTCACCTGGCTTCAGTGACTCAGTACCAAGAGAATGTGAGGTTACGCTGCATGACTTCCAGTTTCTTTTTGAGTCTCTTTGTCCATTCTAAGAATCCAGGTTACTTGCTGTGAGAAATCCCAGCCCTATGCTGTGAGCACAGATGGTGTGGTCAACAATGCAGATCTAGTCTTGGCTCCAAATCATCTCAGTCTAGTTATTAGCCATTTACTCCCAATGATTACAGCCCCCTGATGTTCAGCCTACTGCTCTCCAAGCCTTTCAATTTTCTAGCCTAGGCCTCGAACATTATGGAATAAAGAAATGTCATTCCCATTGTGCCCTGCCCAAGTTCCTGAGTATAATAAAACCGTTATATAACACCATGCTTGGTGATTTAAGCAGCTGTAGTATCTAGAATATCCATTTTGTTGGTAGCTACTGAAAGCAAAGCAGTAGTTGGTGATAATGACCTAGTGGATAAATACCGGGTTGGTTACTCATACAGCAACTGCTAGAAGTTTGAAGTATATGCAGTTACTATGCCTTGGTCCCTGGTCTATGTACTGCCCCTCTCCCTCCTGGTATTTGTAGTAGGCACTATCTTTGGAGAACTGCTGGTTATGGTAACAGCCACCAGATTAAAGGAGACATTTTTAAAAAGTGAATAACAACTATTACAGCTTCCAAAAATTCCAATTACACATATATACACTCCCTTTTAAAGAAATCTTAATTTTAATGTTTTGCATTTGCTAATGTTTTCTGGGTAGCCATATTATTGAATTCTAATTCAAACACTGAGTAGAATATCTTCTCCGTTAATACGGTTTCTCTGATTTTAAACCTTTAATTTCTGTCATATAAACAAAAGTTCATAGTGAACTTTTTAAGATACCAAAACACCACTTCAAAAACTTAGAGGAAACAGAACTATTAAAGTTTTATTTTCAAAGTCTAACTTTAATTCAGACTGAACAAACAAGCTGAAAAGTGAGAAAGCTAACTGTATTAGCAGACACAGATGTACCAGATGTAAAACAGTGGGTTATTAACAGAACTATTTACATGCATATTTACAAGCAATCATTTTATACATAGATTTTCTTTTTAATTAGTTGGAAAAAGATTTGACATTAGGTAAAAATATTACTTAAATAGGGCTGAGGTGGTACCACATTATAATAAAAGTATTAGAAAAGTGATCCTCAATTATAAAGCAGATGAAAACTTGAAAGACAAATATCTAGTAAAATTTTCTAGTAAAAAAGTCAATGCAACCCATGCTACAAAATAAAAATGAGAAAGACATATAAATAAAGCAGAAAAATGTTCTATGCCTTAGGGTAATGAAGTTAGTCAGTGAAAAAAAAAAAAAA